CGAGATATTGCGTATGCAGAAAAACCACTCGGTTTTCCTAGTGGCGTCTTTATAAACGAAGCAAAAACCAGCGACAAAAATACAGGACCACGTTTTTCTGTTACATTGAAGACCACATGCAAAAATTCAAGCCCTTTTGTGAAAATTTTTTTTTTCACCCAAATCGTCACTTAGCATGGTTTTGCACTCACCCCTTCAATTGCTCACTTGAGGAGGCCCTACAGCACATTTTGGATGGCCACTTTTAAAATTCTGGCTAAAAGCCTGATGTTATTATCCCTTGCCAGTAATGTAAATCAGGTACTTGTGAAATTTCGTAACTACATGCACCACTGATTGAGTAAAAAGTATCTTCTCTATAATATCAACTACTTAGTAATCACGAATGGTCCTTTTTTTCTGGAAAATCTCAAATCAAGACCTTGGCTTACTGTATCGAGTGAACAATAACAAGGTCAATAGGCAAGGCAGAGGCTTGCTTTGTTTTTGCAGGCCTGTAATCAGCTTGTGTGCATTATGGAAGAATAATGCCCCAGAAGTAGCCAATCAGAGTATGTGTTATATCTGTTACCTGATGTATACAAACACAAGCCATATAAATTTATTAACTCTATCTTGTTTTACTGCATACTTCAGAAATGAAGTCATACCCAAGTTGAGGGAGTATAACATATTCTTTGAGGGAAGAAAAGCTCTGCAGTTAACCAGCAAGGAGGTAAATAAATGTCTTCACAGGTTATAAGAATCACTTTCTGTTTTATATACTGAATATTTATTCAGATATATTTGGTGACCTTCAACTTATGATTTTTTTTTGTTAATCCTTATTATAATGTATTACCAGTAACCCTGATATACACCTGGAGTCTCAAAGACACAATCGAGCTTGATGTAATATCGCTGTCAGAAGTGGCTCTGTTTAAGATTGGGAATTTGTCAATAGTCAAGAATAGTTGTGACTTTGATATTTCATAATGTTATGCTAGAGTATTACTTTCAGAACCTTGAAACATTTACGAGAAAGAAATATGTCTTAATAAATTATGTATCATGCATGGTTCTATAATAAGTATGTGCTCTCGCATCACATCTTTTATCTGGGAGTTCAAACTGAAAAATGGAGGGTGATCTACGTGCATTCTTGCTTTTGTACTCATTCTGTTGTTTTAAATTAATTCATCTCATTTTGGCATTTGGCTTCTCAAGCCCTTCTGAAGTCATTTTACTTCCTCTCTGATTTGAGGAAACCATGAGTGTTTTGCCTCATGTTCATAATAAACCTGTTTCAATTACATGTATAGTGATTTAGCAGTGTGCAACATGATGTGTGAAAACATTTCTAAGATGCACATGCAATTTGGGATTGACTTGACGTGTTTCAGCCAATTTCTGAGCTGTCTGGCAGTTGTGAAATAATGTGTGCGCAAATTGTAGAGAATAATTTAGGGAAAACATGTATAGGGTTTTTGGACTGTGACTGAACATCTTGGCTATCTTTGTATCTGCTCAGTCAAGGCTGCATGTACATGTAGCTAGAGAGGAGGCACAGAGTCAGGGTGTATTCTACATTTTCAACTACGCTAGCACCATGGGATAGAAATTGAAAAGAGTCATAGACTGTAATCCCTTAAGATTCTTCGCATTTTGACCTTTTTTAAAATTTTTTCGAAAATATCTTCAAGAGAAGGCATAAAAAATTAGCATTTCAGAGCCTCTCAGTTATAAAATTTTCTGGGGAGCCTCCCTAGAGGCTTGTCCCTCTGGCATTTGAATCAGTGTCAGCCGTCTGCTTCATGAAACAAACCCTCTACTCCCTAAATTAATGAGAACGTTGAACACAGTAAAAGTAAACTTCAGTCTCCCTTCTTGAGCATGTCTCACTTTTTGTATATAATTAAATAATAACTTTTTCAGGTTGGAGGCAGGCTTATTCTTGAAGGTGTTCTCAAGATATACTGGGGATTAAAGGTGCCTGTTACGCTAGCGAGCCACAACCTTTCCTATTGGAGGAGACGCTCTCAAAAAGAGCAGAATGGTTATGCAAGAGTCTTAGCTGCTAAGAACAAAGATGGCATTGTGAGTACATTTGGATGAAAATGTTAGAACCAACAGCTTGTCTAGCAGTGTTCGTGCTTCAAATGTGATTTTCTTTAGCATGAAGTTTCTAGCCAGGAGTATTGCTACTCAATCCCTTGGAATTCAATGCCGTTCGTTCTTGTATTAACAGTAAACCCCCAGAACTTTTGTCAGGTCAACCCAAATAGATTTGCTGGTCTGACGGTCAGTGTGCCGGACTCCTTACAAATGAAGGGCTGCATGGAAAAAAGCTATAAGTGACTCTTGATCTCATGTCGAATTCTCCTTTTTTCATTGAAGGACGTGGAAACTAATTTGCTAGGAGAATCTTCCAGTCTATCAGATGTCACTCAGGGTCTTTTTTTCATGCTCATGTAACCCTGCAAATACCCTTCAAACTGCCATCACATCATACATGTAGTTCAGACAATGATAGCCTAAAACTTGGCCTTTTACTGTAACTAATTACAGTGTATATAACTGTGTTTACATATCTGGCAACCATTTTATACCATTTCACGTTTTAAAAAGTTTACATAGTAGGGAATGGCAGATCTAGGGGAGGGGACTGGGGGTGTCCACCCCCTACCCCCCTTATCGGTGAAAACACATAAGGTCCAAACAGCCAAAATAATTTGGGTCCTGGAGGGGGCCTGGAAAAATTATTGTGCCGTTACCTTATAAAGAGGTGTGGATTGGCCACTGCAGGGCTCTGTGGGATGACCATGACTAAATGTGTGTTTGGCTGATCAAAATCACAACCCCTCAGGGATTATGGACAAAAGTGAAGTGAAGTGATGATCAAAATGTTTTGCTTTAAAACAGAGACCAAGAACTAGTAGCTTGGAGAAGGTTCTTGCCAGGCGTCGTTCCTTACTAGTTAACAACAGAAACATCCCAGACGCAGGGGACCAGAGAACCATTCTGGATTTTACAGTTCAGGTGAGAGCTCTTGTATGCAGTAAAGCCTGGTTCACACTTGTGAGATAAGCACCAGTATAAGGGCAAGTATAAGCATATGCTAGTGTATCGCAGGGTTACTCCCCAGCATTGAATTTGTTGGTACCCATTTCTCTACCTGGATAGAGAGAGGCACCATAAGAGTAAGTGTCTTGCCTGAGAACACAACGAAATGCTTTCTGCCTGGGCTCAAACCTGGACAGCTCAATCAACTTGAACAGGAGTTGAACTGACTAGCCTTGAGGCACTGCACCTCGACACACTAAGTGCTAATTTACATACAAATTGCATACTTTTAAAAGAGACATGATTTTAAAGTTGTTGTTTGTTTGCTGTGGAAAGTCACCTGAAGGCCGGACAACGTTTATTCCTCCTTATGGCACCTCAACAAACCTCCGAGTCACAAGCAGAACAAAAACAAGAGAAGTCATTAAAATGCTGATGACTAAATTCCAGGTTTGTTTGTTATTATTTCCAATTTTCAGTTACATTTCCTGCTTTGTTATATAGGCCTATCAGTGGGCGAGATGCACTAAAATTTTCCTGTGCTGTGATTGGGTACCCCAAAAGGCAAGTGATGGGGCTACTTGAGCAATCAACGTACAGTTCTTGCTTGGATTGATTCATCTTGTTCCACAAGAGAAAACGACTTTTTTTTGGCAATACACAAGAATCCATTATGATTGCCATTGTTTATTTTGGTTCACCATAACTTTGGTGGTTTTCAGCCTTAAAAAGCTTATTCTGATCTCGATCTGAGATATAATGGCTTATAATCTCGTGATATTCCTCTGTCTGTGTTCCTTCCACTAAATAAACTATCGCTGGGCTCTTACAGGGTAGGAGCATTGACAGCTTGTGCAAAAAATTTGCTAGTTCTGTGTATGCAGACTCTGGATCTTGTCAAGGAATGTAGGCTTTTTCAAGGATGATGCCAGTGTAATCAATGTGTATGTGCAGGAAATATGCATCTCCCAAAGTGCAGTTCATGTAATTAAGCTTGAGTTGTCTTTTTGTTACTCAGATTACAGATGGGCCACAAAAGTTCCACCTTTATGCTGTGTATGACAATGGCTGTAAGTATTATATATAATTATGTATGTCAAGGTTGTTCTTGACTTTTAACGACAACATCAAGAAAGTAATTATTCGTGATAATTTTTCCCAAAACCACTTATCACAATAATTTATCAATAATAATCAACTGTTAGTAGGTAACAACCTCTTAATTTTTGAACTTGTTTAGCAATCAGACAACTACGAAATGAAGAGTTTCCACTTTACTGTCGACTTCTCCTAGGACCTAGTGAGGTAAGACATGATAAACACCTGTTTCTGAATGACAGCAAATCCAAGAAAATGTTTGCCATGAAAAACAAGGCAGTACCATTCATCTTCAGACTTTGCTGTTGATTTATTTTTGTATTGCACCACAACAAACCAACACTTTCACAGGATATTATGTTTTGGTCAGAAGGTGGTCAGGAATTTTATCTTATGTTCTCTTCCTTGCATTTCTGTGTTGGTTAAGTAGCATATCATGATTCTATTTAGTGCCCCCTTTCCATAAGCATCCTTTTGTAATAAACACTTCCCATGCCATTTTGTTATTGAAAGGAGCTACGTCACAGTTTGCGCATCATGAAACATCTTCTCCATTCTTGTTTCTTTATAGTTTATCATTATCTCTTTTGGTTTTTTTTTTCTATCTTAGTAAACTACTATTTTCAAGTTTTCTCCAGTCTAAAGGTAATTTTGTATGTGGCCAAAATAACTCAAAATGCTGGGACTGAGCTCAGGCTATTTCATTAAACTCCCCCCTTCAGGTGAGCATCCCTGTTGTTAAACAGACATTCAAGACATTAACATGGAATAGACTGGTTAGATTAGGACTGAATTATGATATCTCCTGTTGAATCAAAACTTATTGACTTGAAATACAATTGTATGCACTTCTCAAGCAAATGGTGTTCTGACTATGAAAAACCTTACTGTTACAGTACTCTTGTTCCTGTTTCTTAAAGTTGTTTTCAATAAGGATGTTGTGGTTTTGGACAACCATTTCTTTCTGACGGTTGGCAAAACGACATGAACTAAATCATAACATTTTTCTCTCAATCTGATTGTAATTGACAGTGAAAATTTAATGTTGTTTTGCAGGAAGCAGCCAAGATATTTGTTATGGAAGCTGATGACAGCAACAATATTTCTCACGAGGTTTGTTTACTTGAACTGCCTTAGAGACAACTCTTTTTTTGACCACTTACATGCAGAAGTTTCTCTTCTTGGAACTTCAAGATATATTCTGTCAATGCAAGATGTTGACTCCCACCCTCTTCACCTCCCTAGTTATTTTAAAAGCATTAAAGTATGACTGCTGAATGATTATTTCACAGATAAATTCTGTAAAGTACTGGTAAAATATACAGAGACAGGAATTCTGTTACTTTAGACAGCTAAATGAGCCATGGATGTATTTTATTTAAATTGGTTAATAGTTTGTCAAGTTTAAACAACTGTGACAGTGTTTGGATTTCTAAGCTTTACGTAGATTTTTATGATTTTATTGTTCTGTTTTGCCTTCATTTTAGTTTTGATTGAGGAGATAGATCAGATAATCGAGACCATGTTTTTCCACATTTCCAAACACCTTGAAGTTCTATAAAAATATTCCTCTGAATGCCATAGTTTCAACCCTCTTCTCAGTGTTTGGAAATGTGGTAAAACGCATCTACCTAACAGAGTGTCCTGTGTTTTCTGTTGCTTTGTTGTTAGGTTGCGCAGTATATTCACTTTGCCACGCCTGTGTTACAAGCCTTCCTGGATAAATATCAAGAAGAGGAGGAGAAGGAGGTGGAGAGAGTAAAACAAAGGTACTCAGCTTTGATTTCTTCTCGCACTAGTGAACATCAGATGGGTTGTGGAAGTAAGGACTGAAATTAATTAACTTATGGTGTGTAGTGCTGAAATTAACCCTAGAACTGATTTGAAATCCAACAGAAAACAAGGTTGTCTGACGTTTTTAGTAAGAGTATTTTCTTTAGCTGTGATTTGACACATTTTGGGATAGAATTTGAGATGGCAGTTATCCTGCTCAATACTGAAATGTGATTTACTAAGTATCTTCAATTTGCAATTTTTAATGCTATAATTGTAACTGCACCCAAATTTGTAGTTAGATTGACAGGCAGAAGCCTCTGTCACATCTATTGTACTGATATCCTGCAATTTCAAGTCCCTGAATAAATATCAGGCCAAATTTTGGTGCATTAAATATGTAATGTATGTGTTAACTCAAGGTGATTGTATTTTCTGGTTACT